CAACTGGCACTAGGGCTGCCTGTGGTGCAGAGCCGGGCCATTTGCACATGTGCCATCTGCGCAGCATGGGACACAGAGGAGGAGTGCAGCCCATGCTGTTCCATTTTCCTTTCTTGTTCTCCAGGTATGAGCACATTCCCATAATGAATCACCACAAACTGGATTGCTTAAAACAACAGACATTCACTCTCTTGAAATTCTGAAGACCAGCAGTTCAAAATCAGTGTCACTTGGGCCACGCTCCTTCCAAAGTTACTAGGGGAAGAATCCTTCCTTGCCTCTTCCAGCTTCTGGTGGCTCCAGGCATTCCTTGGCTTGTGGCCGCACCACTCCAGTCTCTGCTTCGGGGGTCACACCGCTTTTGTGTCTGTGTCTTCTCTTCCATGTCTTATAAGGACACTTGTCATTGGATTTAGGGCCCACCTGGCTTACTTAGGATGACCTCTTCTTGAGGTGAGCTATGGTGTCTGGCACCGAGTAGGTGCCTGAACAATTACAGTTATGACTGTGACTCCCATTTCCTCCTTTGAGGTCTTTTCAGTTCTCCCCACCCTCACCCGGCGGGTCAACCAGTCCGTTCCAAGAGCCTCCCACAACCTTGTACTAGCTGCATACAGCTCATCTGCTGCGGGATCCAAGCCACTTGTGTGGACCTGTGGTGCATTTCTCCTTGTCTTCTGGGCCTGGCTCAGTGCTGGCATGCAGCTGGTGCTCAGAGCATGTCTGCATAATGAACAAACCATCGTGTGCTTGCTCTTGGCATGGAGACTGGCATAGTAGATCTGTGAAATGACCAGTCTAAATGAGGTGTAGATCACTGTTTGGATAGAGCTTTTGAACCTTCTGCCATTTTTCACTTCTTCTGAGTCACTATGGCAGCAGAGACATTAGTACGATTACTAACAAAACAAATATTTGTTGAGTGCCAAGCTCTCTGCTATGCACACGGATGTCCTAACTTAAATCTCCTTACAGCTTATGAGGTAGGTACTGGTACTATTCGTCTTTAAAGCACAGTGAGCCTCAGAGAGATTCAGAAACTTCCCGGTCACACTGGTAGGAAATGGTGGCAAGGGTGTGACCTTGGGCAGCCTGGTTCTAAAGCCGTCGCCTCTCAACCACTGTGAACCGTTCCTTGCCTTTCCGGCTGGGAGACACAGGGCATGCCTTCTTTGCAATTTATGGGAAGTCCAATCCCTCTGGCGGGAATCCAGAAGACCCGAATTGGAGGCAAGGGGGACTCCAGAAACCGCATAAGAGGTGAGGGCACCATGCACTTGGCGCTCTCCAAGGCCATGACACCCAAAGCCAGGAGCACATGATGGCTTTTGCGGGCCCTACGCACTTTTGCCTTCGCGGGACCCTCTTTCCTCCAAAAAGCGACTCTAAGCCTGGCTGGATTGTGTTAATACTCATCTTTGAAATAGACCCTGTGCCTACTTATGGCTGATGCATAAGTCGGCCCTGCTCAAAGCCTTTCCGGTGAAGCGAGGATTGGCTTTCTGGTCCCCTAACCCACCTCTGTCTCCGCAGGTCCCACAGCGGATGGCGGCAGAGGGCGCCCCCGGGGACGGTGGCGGCGGCAGCGGCGCCCCGGGAGTGTGGGGCTCCTGGGGCCCCTGGTCCGCCTGCTCGCGGAGCTGCAGCGGCGGCGTGATGGAGCAGAAGCGGCCCTGCCTGCCCCTCTCCTACCGGGTGCGCAGCGGCCCGCGGCCCAGTACCCCCGCGCGCACCTTCGTGGACCACGTGGTGTCGGCCGTGCGCACGTCGGTGCCACTGCACCGGAGCCGGGAGGAGCAGCCAGCCCTGGCCGGCTCGGATGCTAGCCGCCAGGGCCCAGCCATGCTGCGGGGCAGCCGGCACCCACAGCCCCACAGCCGCGAAGTCACCACGGACAGAAGGTACATGCCTGCCCCTGCCTATGTGCCTCCCACCTCCTACCCCGCCCTGTCGCTGTCTTTGTCCCTGCCCCTCCCTGCCCCTGCCCCGGAAGCTGCTCTGCACCACAGACTTCACAAGATTTTGCAGCCTTGTAAAGCGTTGAGGCCACTCCCACCTCACTCTGTGGTTCTGAATAATCTTCAAAGCAGGCTAATTCTGAGAATGCTCTTAGGAAGAATTTTAGGGAGGCCTCCTAGAGTGGTGAAAGGAGGAGAGGAGTGTTGTCTGGTGCCAGGAAGGAGAGGTCCTCAGGCTGTGTGGATTAGAGCTGAAAACACAAGACAAGAAGACGTCCGTCTAACCCAAGAGCTGATATGAGTTGCCAATCCTGGGATAAATTGAATGTTTGGAGTCTCAGAATACTCGAAAACTGTAGGCTTCCAGATTCTGTGAACTTTTCTAGGAAGTTTCTCCAAAGTTTTTTGAGTCAACACACTGGTCTGTGGATATGTCTAATTAAGGACCTAAACTGTGTTTTGGAGTCAATAAAATGTAAACTTTAGAAATGGCATAGTGTCATCAAAATAGCAGTACAGCTCTAAGAAGCATGAATGTGTCACACTAGGCAGTGCCCTGGGAAAGGTAGGAATATAGGTGCTGAGAAGAGCCTGTTAGTGAGTGAAGCAGTAGATATTAACAGATCACTCTGCATTCATCCGACAGTGTTTGCTTGGTATCTTAGTGCACAGGTCCCTGATAGATCCTGGGAGAATATTAATGCAAAAACAGTAACAAAAAACAAATAAACATGGACAAGAACACAAAATGTAAGATGTGCTCTTTGTGATTAAGAAATGTATAATTCATTTGTCAGGCCGTGTTAATCCCAGCAGGCAGGGCCTGAGCTTATAAGGTGGGCTGCCTCGCCCTTCTTGCCCATTTGTAGTTCAGCATCAGTCTCCACGGCCAGCCTTTTCCAGTATGACCACTTGCTGCATGAGAGTCCATCTTAGCCGAGTGATGTAAGCTGTCACTGCCAGCCGCCTGCAGGTGGAAAGGAGATGCAACCCATCCACCGTCCCCAGCCACATGCTCTTGACCTTGTGCAGTAGGGGTTTGGAGAGAGAGAGGACCATTTCAGGAAGAAGGGTATTTTAGCTGAATTCTGAAGGGAGCCACGTTTGAGTAGATAGAAGAGAAGAGCGAAGAACAGTGAACTCCAAGATCTAGCATGGAGGGGGAAGGAGAGAGGCAGCCCCGAAAGGATGCTTCCTTCTCTCTCTCTCTCTGCATGGAAACCTGAGCACCCTCCAGTACGAACTCTGTGGCTGAGGGTCTGCTCCTAAAGCTGGAGGCTTGATGTACGTTGTCTCTTTCGATCCCAGTCACAAACCCATAATAGCATAGCTCCATAGTCCCTTAGTTTTTTTTTGTTTGAGACAGTCTTACTCTGTCGCCCAGGCTGGAGTGCAATGGCGCCATCTGGGCTCACTGCAACATCTGACTCCCAGGTTCAAACTGTTCTCATGCCTCAGCCTCCCGAGTAGCTGGCCCAGGATTACGGATGTGCACCACCATACCTGGAAACTTTTGTATTTTTAGTAGAGAGGGGTTTTGCCATGTTGACCAGGCTGGTCTTGAATTGCTGACCTCAAGTGATCTTCCCACCTCGGCCTGCCAAAGTGCTGGGATTACAGGCATGAGCCACTGTGCCCGGCCCATAGTTCCGCATCTAAAATGCTTATGGCCAATGTGTTTTGGAATTCAGAACTGTCCAGATTTTAGAAAGGTAATTCAGGCATTTCACATGTTAATGGCATTTCTTCTGTAGTATGGGGCGGCATCCCATAATCAAACACATTATTATTTCTGCAGTGAAACATATGGATGTTCTCACCAAGCAGGATAAAACCAAAACACCATAAATAGCCTGATATCAGTTAAGGTCAGGTTTGTTGGCCAATGAGTTTTGTCACCAAACTGACAAAAATCTGAAAAGAAATGACAAAAACTTAGTTTTCAAAACTCTTAATTTTAGAATTGCAAATTTATAATAGCTAAGGTTTATTAAATGTCCATACAAGTACTTTTCTTTTTTTTTGGTTGGGGGGACGGGATATAGTCTGGCTCTGGTGCCCAGGTTAGAGTGCAGTGGCACGATCTTGGTTCACTGCAACCTCTACCTCCTAGGTTCGAATGATTCCTCTGCCTCAGCCTCCCTAGTAGCTGGGACTGCAGGCATGCACCACCATGCCTAGCTAATTTTTGTATTTTTAGTAGAGATGGGGTTTCACCTCATTGGCCAGGCTGGTCTCGAACTCCTGGCCTCGAGTGATCTGCCTGCCTTGTCCTACTGAAGTGCTGGGATTACAGGGATGAGTCACCATGCCTGGCCTCCCCAGGCACTATTCTTAGCACTTTACACTCTTTGGATGGAGCTTTTGATGACCCTTTAAGAGTGTTGCTAATAGCATCTTCATTTTAGAGGTGAGGAAATGGAGTCAGGCTTGAAACCCAGGCAGTATGGCTCTAAGGACCTGATGAAGCCGATGTTACACTTGAGGAATTGGAGGACCTAGAGTCAGTGGACAAGCTGAGATTTGAAGGTGGTGTCGCTGACCCCCAGATTCCTGCAGTACTCATCCTCCTGTGGGCTCCAGCGGAAGGGATGGAGGGCTAGCCTTGGGTGGGACCTGAGTGGGAAAGGGGCTTCTCAAAAGCCTCTGTGGTTGAGGACCTAGAAGAGCTGCCTGAGGGCCAGATTCTTGTTGGCCACAGGCCTGTGCTGCAGGCATTCTGCCTGTTCATTTTGGCAGCAGGAAATTCTTTTCTTCAAATGTATTGGCAGGGGCTAGTTACTGTTTACTATGAAGTTCCTGTGAGTTTTTATCATGCTCTTGTCATTTGACAGTTTCTGATGAAATAATCCAAATATTAGCCTGGGAGGCCTGTGCTGCCTACAAATGTCATGCTCTTCCCAGCTGATGAAAATCACATTTGCTTATATTTATCAGTCATTAGGTACTTGCATAGTATATTTAACCCCAAGGAGAAATGTCAGCATGTTTTCAGGATGGCTCTCTGCTCCGTTCCCTGTTTCAGGTTTGAGGTTTGAGGCAAAGGCTGTAGGAGTTTTGATGTTTAAGAAATTGCTAGGTTGCTCTGCTAGGCAACAGGAAACTTAATTGGAGTCCGATAACAAAGGAAACTATTCAACCTTCCACCAGATGTTTATTAAACATCTACTATGTTGTAAGGCCCTGGGACCTACACAAAGGTGAATAAAAGCCAGGTGGTGGGACCTCATGGCTCTTACTGACAGCCTAGAACAGTTGTTTGCAAAATTGCTATATATATATATATATTTTTTTTTTTTTTTAAGCAGAAGAATCCTTTCTGCTAAATCAATCTTAGATGGAGGCTCAGCTTGTATAATGACACATGTAAAATCTGTGTTGCTCCGGTTGAACCCTCAGGTATTGCTATAGAAACCAGGGGTCAAGATCCAATGCAGCAGTGGTTTTCAATCTTGATGGACCATTAGAATTTTTTGTCCATCTTTTAGAAGCTCTGACACCCATGTCACACTCCAAACCATCAGAGTCTCTAGCGGCCACCCTCAGATGTTGGTATGATTCCAACCCAGCCAAGTTTGGGAAGCACTGGTCTGGATGAAGCTCTTTGGAGACTCAAGTTTCCATGGGAAAGATTTTGGGAATCAAATATTGTCTAGCAGGATTTTCCAAGCTTGGTGAGCATGTATCAGAATCCCTTGCCATGGAGTGGGTGGCTTGTTAAAAAGAGAGCTGCCAAGTCCCCACCATCTCCCATGCCTGATGGGGATTCTGAATTGTAGGTCAGTTATATGTCATACGTATCTTCATTTTAAATGATTCTGATATACCCTGGAGTTGGAGAACCACTACTCTAAAGGATTGGAAAAGACGCACATGTAAATGCCTTCAATAGAAGGCAGGCTGGTGAAATAGTCATGATGGCGGCTCCCATGTCGGAGCGTGTCTTATGTGCAGGCATTCTTTCAAATGCATGACGACGTTTACAGTTCACACCACCCTGTGAGGCAGAAACTATTATTCACATTTTACAAACAATGAAACCGAGGCTTGGAGGAATGAAGTGACTTGCTCAAGATTACCACTTGAGAAGAAGCAGCACTAGAATTCAAACAGAGGTCGGCCAGAGTCTGGCACTAAGGCTTTTCACTGAAATGGGTTTTCTGAAAACGAAGCAGCTGTTCATTTTCTGAACACACCAGCCAGTGTGTTCAGAAAAGCTGCTTGGAGGTTGGGCTATCCGAGCCGTGTCTTGACAGATGGATGGGATTTAACAGTGAAGGCTTAAAATGAGCTGCATCTCTTCTATGTGGTGTTCAGCTCCTTTAACTAGGGGAATCTGAAGGGATAGAGGCAGGACTCTGGGCAGCACAGACTGGGTGCAACCAAGATCCTAGGGTCTGCGCTTCCTGCTCTCTGCCCTTTCTTAATGTGGCTTGCTCAGAAAAGTCTTCCACAAAGGGTGGCATTCCCTGTGATTTAGTCAGGTCAATGGCAGCCTGGGGAGGTTCCAGGCTAGGGGGTTCAGGGTAATCTTCTTTGCATCTAATCCTAGACATCACATGAGTTCAAAAAAAATTAGAAGTCACAGTCTTTGTTCTTGGGGGCCTTTCACTTTGGTGGTAGATGAGGGCAAAGCCACAAAACAGTGCCCATCTTGGGAGACAGCAGAGATGTGACCAGAGTTCAGGAAGAAGGAATCCCTGTGGGATGGAACAGTTAGGAAGACTACACAGAGCAGGTAAGATTTGAAGCTGCCCTTGATGAATAAATCGAATTTACTTAGCTGGAATATATCCAGAAACTTCTTGAGTTCACTTGCTTCCATAGCAGGCCTTTGACTCATTAAAACAAGCACACACATAGTATAAATCCTACTCTAAAAAGCCTCAAAAATAATGTCAATCTTCATTGGAGCTCTTCCAAGGATTCAGAGCTTAGGAAAGTTAAACTTCTCTGAGCCTCAGGGAACTTCATCTTTCAAATGAGAGCAATAATAATACCTATCATGTGGGGTTGTTGAATAATTCAATGAAATAATACATTCATATCACCTGTCCCATGGTGGCTGCTCATTAAATACACTCATATTGTCTGGCCCCTAATGGACACTCATAGTGGTCGCTGTAACTCCCATTATGGGTCTAAAGGCTGATATTAGATAGTGTGTTAGAGAGCGTTTCAGTTAGAACTCAAATGCAGCTGAAGGGATCAGGTGAACTGGGGCCACTCAGAAAGACAGGGAGCCAGGAACTGAGCTCCCGTTCAGAGGAGCAGGACTGTGGGTAGCACAGGATGGGTGCAGCCAAGACCCTAGGATCTGTGCTACCTGCCCCCTGCCCTTTCTTAATGTGGCTTGTTCAGAAAAATCCTCCACAAGGCGTGGCATTCCCCTGTAAGTTAGTTAGGGCAATGGCAGCCTGGGGAGGTTCCAGGCTTGGGGGTGCAGCCTTCTGGCCTTGGCCAACAGATTCCATAATGGCACTCAACCAAGTCTTCTTTCACTCCAGGCCCAAGGCTGTGTCCCTGTGATGGCTAAAGGGGAAGGGGTGAGTAGGGAATGCGGGTGTTTAGGTGAGTCTTACAAAGCATGCCGCAGTGTAGCAGCTCACACCTGTGAAACTGAAGATACTCCTTGGTAGGAGAGGCTTCCCCCTCAGTTTCTGGAAATGGATACCTGTAGACTAGAGGGTGCTGGAAGGAGCCCCTGTTACTTTAGGACCCCCTTCACCTTTTCGTCCTCCAATTATTTTATTGTGTTAAAATACACGTAACATAAAATTGACCATCTTAACCATTTTTAAGCATGTAGTTCAGTGACATTGAGTATATTTACGTTGTTATGCTTCTATCGCCACCGTCCAGTCACAGAACTGTTTTTATCTTTCAAAACTGAAACTGTACCCATGAAACAATCACTTTACATTTCTTCCTTCCCCCACCCCAGCCCTTAGCCAACCATCATTCTACTTTTTTCCTCTATGATTTAACTACTCTTAAGTATCTCATGTAAGTGGAATGATACAGTATTTGTTTTTTGGGTTTTTTTTTTTTTGTGACTGGCTTATTTCACTCAACATAATGTCCTCAAGGTTTATTCCATATTGTAGCATATGTCAGAATCTGCTTTTTTAGGGCTGAATAATATTCCATTGCATGTATATACCACATTTTGCTTATCCTTTCATCCATCAGTGGACATTTGGGTTGCTTCCACACTTTAGGAATTGTGAATAACAGTGCTATGAACATGAGTATTTTCAGTTGTTTTGGGTGGAAATTGGGAAGTGGAATTGCTGGATCATAGGATAATCATATTTTTCGTGTTTTGAAGAATCGCCATAGTGTTTTCCATAGCAGCTGCACTATTTTGCCTTCCTGCAACAGCGCACGAGGATTCCAGCCTCACCAACACTTGTTATTTTCTGTGTGTGTGTGTGTGTGTGTGTGTGTGTGTGTGTGTGTTTTATAGTGACCATCCTCATGGGTGTGGGGTGGCATCTTATTGTAGTTTGGTTTGCATTTCCCTAAGGATTAGTGATGTTGAACTTTTTGTGTATGTGTTTAATGGCCATTTATGTATTTTCTTTAGAAAAATGTCTGTTCAAGCTCTTTGAAGACCTTCCCTTTTATAACACTGAAAGCAAGGTGGATTTCTTCCCATTCCCAAAATGTCTAGCAAAAATGGCATCCAGAAAGACTCCCTGCGGCCCAGGACCCAAGTACACAACCTTACAGAAATGCGTTGCAAATGTCTGTTGGTCAGTTTCACTCAGCTTCCACAAAGACAGGGTATGCGAGCAGTATCCACTCTTATTTGAGGACTTCAGGTGATTTTTTTCACCACTCTGGTTGCCAAAGAGCCTGTTATCAGGCAGGCTTTCCTTCTCACTGGACTTCCTTACATTCACCTACATTAGCCAGCTTTTCCGGTCATTCATTACATTCATTAACCAGCTGGAATCTGGGGAATGGGATATTTGATGGCTTTAATTCATATTTTCAAATCTGGATTTGAACTAGGCAGTGCCAGGTTGACAACTTTCTTCTCCTGGAGAGAGTTGTGGGTGGCTGGGATGTGAAAGTCTCAACCATGAAAATCATGACCCTGTTCCACTGCGGGGAGCGTATCAATATCCTTCAGGTGTTTGGGGATAGAAAGAGGTTGAGGAGGCTGGGCTTCCTAGAACCTCCCAGAGCAGTTTCCTATATAAATTTTCCTGTACAGCTGATTTCCTGTTGGGAAGGAGACTGGTAGGATGAGGGAAACTCTTGCCCAGGCTAGCAGACCACATCCCAAGAGCAGTTTGTGGCCAGCTCTCACGACTGGGGCTTTGAAATATAGTGCTTTACTAGAATCTAGAAGAACAGGAGATACACACCCTGCAAACCACAGATAGTTACTAGTGCAACTTCTGGAACTGACAGGTTTGATGCTCCGTCTGACTCTGCCACTTGCTGGCTGTGTATCCTGCTGATGTTACTTACATTTTCCCTAGAGGGAATAATAATACACCTACTTTGCTGAGTTGCTGTGAATTGGATAACTCAGACCACATGCTTAGCACAGTATCTCCTAAGTGCTCAGTAAAGGCGTCTCAATGCCTTCCACACGCCAGATGGTTGTTTGGCAGTTGTTAGACGTGCAGAATTTTTATTTATTTATATTTATTTATTTTATTGCATTTTAGGTTTTGGGGTACATGTGAAGAACATGCAAGATTGTTGCATAGGTACACACGTGGCAGTGTGATTTGCTGCCTTCCTCCCCATCATTTGGCATTTCTCCCCATGCTATCTCTCCCCAACTCCCCACCCCCCGTCCCTCCCCTATTTCCCCCCAACACACCCCAGTGTGTAGTGCCCTCCTCCCTGTGTCCATGTGTTCTCATTGTTCAACACCTGCCTATGAGTGAGAACATGCGGTGTTTGATCTTCTGCTCTTCTGTCAGTTTGCTGAGAATGATGGTTTCCAGGTTCATCCATGTCCCTACAAAGGATACAAACTCATCGTTTCTTATGGCTGCATAATATTCCATGGTGTATATGTGCCACATTTTCCCTGTCCAGTCTATCATTGATGGGCATTTGGGTTGGTTCCAGGTCTTTGCTATTGTAAACAGTGCTGCCGTGAACATTCATGTGCATGTGTCCTTATAGTAGAACGATTTATAATCCTTTGGATATATGTCCAGTAATGGGATTGCTGGGTCAAATGGAATTTCTATTTCTAAGACCTGCAGCATTTTATATTGTCTTCATTGCAACCTGTGTGACAGATGTGTAGCATCCTCATTTATGGATGACAGACTCAAGGGTCAGGGAGTAAATATCTCCTTCAAGGTCACGCAGAAGGCAAGCAAGAGGGCACAAGCCTGTGTGGCATCCTGCTCCTTTTAGACTTTCTTTTCTAGAAAGCCTTTTTCCAAGTGAAAGGGAACACTCGTTAATTTAGCTAAGTTTGATAAACTAACACCTCTTTGCGATGGAAAATGAAATATTTCTCCAGTATTTATCCCAAAGCTTTTAGTGTCATATAGCAACACTGAAACTGGCTCCACTGTGGACTCCAAAAGCCCAGAGGAAACACTGCTAGCTGTTGCTTGAAGCTGGCCCTGCAAAGTCTTCTCATAGTTATTTGCTGTTAAGGCTGCGTCCAGATCTCAGGGCTTAATTAATAGAGATTACTTGGACATTGCTTTTTTTTTTTTTTGAGACAGAGTTTTGCTCTTGTTGCCCAGGCTGCAGTGCAATGGTGCCATCTTGGGTCACCGCAACCTCCACCTCCCGGGTTTAAGTGATTCTCCTCTCAGCCTCCTGAGTAGCTGGGATTACGGGTGCATGCCATCATGCCCGGCTAATTTTGTATTTTTAGAAGAGACAGGGTTTCTCCATGTTGGTTAGGCTGGTCTCAAACTCTGAACCTCAGGTGATCCACCCATCTCGGCCTCCCAAAGCACTGGGATTATAGGCATGAGCCACCGCGCCCAGCCGGACATTGCCTTTTTTAAAGTTTTGTTTTCATTTTAATTCAGCCAGTATTCTTTGTGTATTTCCTTTGGGCCAGGCACTGTGCTAGACACAGGAGGGATAGACAGGTGAAAGAGGCATGGTTTTGGTTTTCCATGACCTCCGACCTCCGTGTCTGATGAGGAAACAGCTCAGGTATGAACACCTAAGGGAATGTGGTGAGTGCTCTACCTGGACGATGAGCTGAAGGCTATAGGAGCAGAGCAGTGGGACTGATTCTTGGGAAATCAAGGTCACTTCATGGTGGAGGGTACTTTCTCGAATGATCAGTTTGCATTTTTTAGGTAGAAAAGTTGGGAAAGAGCTGGGAAAGCCTCGGTGCTGCTGGGGGATGCTGTGGTTTGCCGACACAAAGTGGAGAAATGCTCCTTATCCTTGAGGGGCTCATGCTGGTGGGGTGGCGTAGGAAGACAAGCAGATATGTACAAGAGCAAGTGCCCGGGGAGGAGAGGGGTAGAGAGCGCAGGACTAGGGGAGCCAGGGAAGGCCTCGGGTGAATAATTGAGCTGCGCTTTGAAAAGGAAAGATTTTAGCAGAGCCCAAGAGTGAGGAGGGCCTTCCCACAAAGAGCAAATTGTCAGGGTGGAGACCTGGAGGCGTGAGTGAGCATGTCATGTTCATAAATGGTCTGGTGAGGCTGGAGCACAGGCTGTAAATGAGGGAGTGTCCAGGCAAGACTGGGGAAGTCCACAGGCTCCTTTCCAGAGAGGAACTTTAAAGCAGTCCTCAGGGGACTGAACGAGAAATTCTTAGAGTAAGACAGCCCCTATAAACACTGATGGCCAACATTTTTTCCATGAGATGATGCATACAGCGTAAAGCCCATCTAAATTTCTCTTTAATGCCCTGTGCTTTTCAACATGATTGGCTATGCCATCTACCACCCTGTCTCTGTTAGTGCAAGAAGCCAGGGTTAATTGTCTGGGGGCTAAGGCTTGACCCTGCCGTTTTGTAACAGGTATATTCGTTTCCCGTTGATGCTGGAAAACTCACTACACACTCAGTTGCTTAAAACAACACCAGTTTATTCACTCACAGTTCTGGAAGTCAGAAGTCTGAAGTCAAGGTGCTAGCAGGACAGCACTCCTTCTGGGGGCTTCGAGGGGAAATCATGCCCGTCCCTTCTCCAGCTTCTAGAGGTTGCCTACATGCCTTGGCTCATGGCCTCTCCCCCATCACTCTGACCTCCTGCTTCTGTAATCTCATCTCTTTCTCTGACTGTTATCCTCCTACCTCCCGCTTATAAGGAGGACCCTTGTGATTACACTGGGCCCACCCAGGTAATCCAGGATAATCCCCCATCTCAAAATCCTTAATTTAATAATCATCACAAAGTCCCGTTACCATATAAGGTAACATTCACAGGTTCTGGGGGTTAGGATGTAGACATCTTTGGAAGCGAGGGGGGACATTATCAGCCTACCTCAAGAGTTCTTGCATTTTGGTGTCTTATGACTACTGAAGCAGTAGGACAATTTCTGTACCCGGAGGACCACCTGCCACTTTTCCCATCCACATTGGTTGTTGTTGATGGGAAATGTACTGATCCTATTTCCAGAAAAACAAAGAAGAGGAAAAACCATGTGTCCCCACCCTACCCTTAAGCATTCTTCTTTAGAAATGCCTATGAAGGACAGTGACAATAACCAAGTTAAGAATAGCAAATGCCCAAGGCAGCCAGTGTAGAATAAAGAGCTTTGTATCCCAAGTTCAGAGTTCAGTCCCCAGCTCTTATGAATGCTTTGATCCTGGAAAAGTCACCTCATTTCTCTGGGCCTGAGTTTCTACATGCATAAAATAAAGAGGTTCTTATTCTAGCCATTAAGGGGTCTTGCTTTTTATTGATGCATCGTTGAGGCCAATTGCTGTTTTAAATGTTCCTGTCATCTTTTCTGCCATCCAGAGTAATGGGAAGAGAAGGTGACTGGGAAACACAGCCCTCAAACACCTTTCTTGTCTTTTTTTTTTCTTTTTTGAGACAAAGTCTCCCTTTGTTGCCCAGGCAGGAGTGCAGTGGCACAATCTTGGTTCACTCCCGGGTTCAAGTGATTCTCCTGCCTCGGCCTCCTGAGTAGCTGGGACTACAGACATACGCCACCACCCCCAGCAAATTTTTGTTTTTAGTAGAGATGAAGTTTCACCATGTTGGTCAGGCTGGTCTCGAACTCCTGACCTCAAGTGATCCGTCTGCCTGGCCTCCCAGAGTGCTGGGATTCAGGCATGAGCTACCATGCCTGGCCTCAAATACCTTTTCAAACATGCTTATGAAATGTGATGGTTTTTCTTCTCTGTAGATGCACTGACATTGTAACTCTTCAAATCCCTCTCTGCACACTTCTGTCTCATGAGTTTTTCTTTAAAGTGTTGTTCACACGTCTGTCCTCCTTTTGCTAATCTCTTCTTGGACAGCTGTCTTCATGGAAGGGATCACTATCTCTTGCCTTGTAGAAATCCCTGGACTGGGACTCATTAGACCCCACTTCCTGCCTCAGCTCCATCATCTGCTAACTGGGTCACCTATGGGAATCACTTAATGTAATCTATAAAATATGAAAAATTGTATGTCCTCTGCCTACCACACAAGGCCTGTTGTGAGGCTCAAACGAGGCAACAGCTGTAAAAGTACTTCGAAAAACATAAGACACCATTCAAAAACAACATGGCTTGATTATTTTATTAACATTGACTAGATAATTTTTGGTGAGACTTGTGTCCCTTTCTGTAACTTGTTGTCTGTGTGTCCATGTTCATGTGTGTGCATGAGTGCATGTGTGTGTATGAGCATATGCGTGTGCTTGCGTATGTTTGCATGTGCACACATGGGTGTATGTGTGTTTGTTTGAAAGGTTCATTCATTTCGAAACAGGATAGCCTGGATCAGGCCTGGATCCCAAGTTTTACCCACCCATTCCCACCTCCCCTGGAAACTGTCCCCGGCTGCAGGTAGGAATCATTTGTTTTTTCAGCTCCTCCTTTCCTGTGCTTTGTTGGAGGCTACTTGCATCTCATCAGTAATAACTTTGGAGCAATATGTTTTTTCTGTCCTGGGGGACCCTAGAGCTCACTGGCCCTCTTCATGATGCTGGATAGGAAAGTTTGCTGTTAATTAAACTTCACAAAGCCACATGCCGATTTGCTGACCCTCAGTCGATACCCAAGGAGTCTTGTTACCTACAGCGGGGCAGAAACCACATAGCAAGAAGGGAAATCTTTGGCCTCATCTGTGTTTCTCCTTGGAAAACCTCCCTGGCCATCCTGGGTAGTTAGCAGAGAAAGCAGATACAAGTGTTTGAAATGCATATTCCTTGTTTTTGGGATGTTCGTTTTCCTACTTCAAGGGGATTTTTGTTTTTTTTAACCTTCCGAAGCAGGAATTTCACTTAGTCCCTGAATTGTGTGACAAGAAGTTACCTGTTGATGCTAAGAAGATAAACGGTGTTCTAATATGCTTTGATTTCTGAATTAGAAACCTTAGCCCTTTTTGGTAACAGAGTTTGTAGCAGAGATAGGCCTGCTGGTATGTACATTTCTGCCTGTAGGTTAGGAAGGATTGGAGCCAGATTTTAAGCTTGAGTTACTCTGATCTCAGACCAGGCTCCAAAGAGCCCTTGTTCATTTCTTGTGGTATTTCATTAAGTGTCAGAAGTATTTCATTAGTTATCAGAACAAAGATCACATTTGCCATAAGAATGCTGCATTGAACTTTCTCCAAGTCATTCATAACTCTGGTTCCAGAAGAAAGATGCGAAGGGCTATGGAAAAAGCCTGACTACAATATGTGTGTCCCAGAAGGGGGATCTCTGTTCTGCGTCTGGAATCCAGCGCACACCTGGTGTTAGCCTGTGATGCCTTCATATGAGGATGGGAGGAAGGAATTTCCTGCCTGTGGGGGTTACTGTCATTTCCTTCAGTCATCCCACCTGCAGAAGCCTGCACATGTTGTTAATTCAGTCAGAGTAATCACAGCCATTTTCTCAGGGCCTACTATGTGCCACATCACTGACATGTACTGTTTGAACCTCAGCCAGCCCCAGCTTACAGAGGACACCGAGCTAGGGTAAAGAATTCCCCAGCATCCTGCTCCAGGAAGGGACAGAAGGGGATTTGAGTGCAGGGTTCCGTGACCCTAACATTCTTGCTCTTCTCACTGCCACCCTGAGCCTACAATGTGGACACAGGAAATTTATGTGTGGTTTAGGGGACAGCTGCTGCGGTTGACCTGTATCACACATGGCCTCCCTGTTGGTTCTCAGGATAAAGTGCTCACATCCCTTAAGGGCTTTTTGGGTATTCACTTGCTTGTCAATCCATAAGCCCTTCTCTGGATGTGTAGTTCTTTTTTCTCATCTCTATTAATAAATAACAAGAGCAATGACAACTGATGTTTATCGATGGTTTCCTCTGTGTAGGTTGAATGGCTCCCTGCTCCCTCCCACTCAGTCCTCAAGGATAGCAGGCCTACTCCTGGAGCCTGTAAATGCTAACTTATTTGGGAAAAGGGTCTTTGCAGATGTGATTAAGTATCTTGAGATGGGGAGAGTATCCTGGATTATTCAGGTGAGTTCTATGTGCAATTATAAATGTCCTTATAAGAGACAAGCAGAGGGAGATATACTATGTAGGCACACAATGGGGAAGGTGATGTGAAGATAGAACAGAGGCAGATTTGAAGATATAGCTCTTGAAGACTGGAGTGCTGTAGCCACAGCCAAGGCATGCTGGCAGCTCCCAGAAGCTGGAAGAGGCCAGGAAACAGATCCTCCCCTAGAGCCTCTGAAAGGAGCATGTCCCTGCTGCCACCTTGATTTCAGCCTAGTGATGCTGATTTCGAACTTCTGGCCTCCAGAACTGTGAAAGAATGGATTTCTGTTGTTTTAAATCACCAAGTTTGCGGTACCTGGTAACAGCAGCTACAGAAACGAATGTACTGTAGGAGACTCTGAGCTAAACTTCATAGGACCCTTATGCATAAACTCTCCTTAGGGTCTCTTGTCTAACATGAGAAGAATTCTGTGCTTACAGCAACAATGTGATGAGCCCTGAGGCTCAGGGCCAGTAGGCTGCAGAGCAGGGATTTAAACCAGAGAACCTGGCTTTAAGGCCTGTCTTGTAACACTGAGTTATTCTCCCTTCCTGCTCCCCTCTATTCTCATCCTTATGCCCCAGGTCAGGCCTTGCCCCAGAGCCTGCCTTTCCCCATTTCTGGTTTAGCTTCCAAGCACACAATATATTTTATATTCCCTCCTGAATCTTTTTTCAGGCAGAATTATTTGGTCCTCCTGTGGGCCACATGGATCCAGCAGCAATGAGTTAAGATTTCCCTTTTCCTCAGTGATTGGACCACAGTTCATTGTGGGCAAGTGCTGAGAACTTTTCTTTTGTCGATTTGGGGGGAAACAATAATTTTTCCTGTTTTCCAGTAAGTCCTCATTTCAAATAGTCCATCCCTATAATCCTCTACGAATGGGAATTTGGTATTTAAAACTGTACTGTATTGCAATTGTTAAGCTCTTTAGAGAGGCTTGACCTTACTCATTCAGTCGCATTTGTTAGTATCTGTTCACACAGACTTACTAGCTTGGACAGGTTGTTCAATGTCTTTTAGACTCAGTTTCCTTATCTATAAAATAAAGTAATGGCCTACTTTGCTGTTTGCAGAGATGATTAAATGGGATTACAGCTAGTGCTTGACTTACGACCACGATTGGTTCCGACAGACCGGTCGTAACACGATTTGGTCGTAAGTTGAGTAGGCTATATGCACGCGGAGATGGTAGTGCTGCCGGAAGCTGGTCTGCACTGTGATACGCCCAGCTGGGCAACGTTTGTGCTGCCAGACGCGGAGCAGTCATGGCTAGCGATTGCGGTCCTAAAGTCGAATGGTCGTAAGTTGCATAGGTCATAAGTCGATCAATACCTGTACACACATAAAGCTTTTAGCAGGTGTTTGATACAGCATAGTCATCTACATACAGAATATATTATTTAAATACAGTTGTTCCTTTGTGTCCAGTCAGGATTGATATTAATTCCAGGACTCCCTGCAGATACCAAAATCTGAGGATGTACAAATCCCTTTTATAAAATGATATAGTATTTGCATATAACCTACACACATCCTCCAATACTTTAAATCATCCCTAAATTATATATATATATATCTAATGCAATATAAATACTATGTAAATAGTTGTACTATATTGTTTAGAGAATAATGACAAGAGAAAGGTCTATGCATGTTCAATATAAATGCAACCATCCATTTTTTTTCACAATATTTTTGATCCATAGTTGGTTGAATCCATTGATGCAGAAC